CTCTTATCCTTAACACATTGTATATTGATGTTCCTCTTTTTACCAAAATTTAGGTGCACTTTATATTTACTTCTCAACATAATCGCCGTTCCGGCGGAGGGCGGAATGAATTTTTCAAGTTTTGAAATTTAAAACGCCTGTATGTCAAAAGGGTGTCTATTTATCTCTTTAATAAGAGGACAAAATTTGACTTTCTAAAAATAATATCTTCGGCTGCCGAAATGGCTCTACATGTTTTCAAAATAGATATATTTTATAGATTCTTTATTTTTAAGTTTATGTCGTCCCTTGCAGTTTTATTAGGCCCTAAACTGTTATGAAGCGGCAGAGTAAAGTGAAGTGAAACTTATTTAGTGGAGTCGATGGTGTGTGTCTGTCTGTTTGTTTGTTTGTGAACACGATAACTGGCAAACGCCCGCACCGATTTCAAACTTTTCACGGTTGACCTATTAATATGCCACATGTAGCAAGCCCGTTGAAAATGGGTCAAATCCAATGACCGCGTTGGGTCACACTGCCCTGCCTGTTTTCTTGGTTTATTACTTCGGAAAAAGAATTTAATGTGTATACTGGGTCAATCTGAAAAGTTATACCCCACCATTTAAGTGCTGTCTTCAAAAATTTTGAATCGAAGGGAGGGGTAGGAGATTAAAAGTTGAGACAAATTAAAAATAGAGATTGCCCATAGTCCGGTACACGGCTGGTGTGTGTTTTCCGTAGTGACTGCTAGGGAAGAAGAAGAAAAGTGAGGTGTTGTGCCTTTTATAACTGTTGAAGAGGTGCCGATCGAAATTCAACGCAAAATAGCTGGTGTGTGTGGTGAGAATAGTGTCAGTTGGATATCATTTCCACGTTTTTTGACCCATGAAGAAGCACTTGAAAGATCGCCGTTACATGTCGAATACAGAGGTGCTGGACGAGGTATGTGATTGGATCGCTTCACTCCCGAGGGAAACCTGGGGGTCAGGCATTCTTAGTCCCGTTCAGCAATGGATATAGAGTTGCCCTTAAAAAGAATATTACAGCGTCAATCAAGAAGATAAACAGAGGCGGGCGCAATAATCTTTCAAGTGCGTAAACTTAATTCTAATTGCGAAGACCATGTTTACTTAATTGGCTGGCAACGTGTTATCAGCGAACCTTCCCCCAATGAGAATATCACATGAAGAATTAACGAACCTAATATCTTTGGTGCCGGATAAAATACCTCTTCTCAAATTTCCTTGCCATTTACAGGCCGTTGAGGGATGTATAAAATTAGTGACATAAAAGCCTCTAAGGCAGATTACGATTGTGATGCTTGATTTGGGAACAACTTAAGAGTAAGACCTTCTGCAGGGACACCTCTAAAAAGCATCATGTGTGTTACACTTTAATTGGACGTAAGGGCCTAGAACAAGGGCTTGTATTAAAATTACGAGATGTATTACTGCAATTTGAAGCATTTTAACAGCTTCTAAATGTCAGGGAAGCTTAATGGACTGTAATTATAAATAGGTGACAAAAAACTAATATGAATTAGGCGAAATTTATTAACGAAAACACAAAACAAAATGAAATTAAATTGAAGGCTGAAGGCACAAACTTTACGTCAACTCTGGTAATACCAATTCTCAATCTCTGTACAACTTGAACGTGAAAGAATATGATACAAACTGGCTCTTAGGCTATCAAATACAGAAAGTAAAATACTGTAGGTAAATTCGTTATTTTAAAAACAATATGCATTACGGGTGTATGATGTGTTGCCCACTTTCTGTGTAGAACCGCCATAATTCATTGGTGTTACTTGGGTTGCCGAAAGTTAGGCGTTCATTTTAGCGGTAATTATGTGAAAAGTTCACATAAAGAAATCAATACTAATATGAGGTACCACAGATGTAAATTTAATCTATTTAGATCTGTGCTGATCTGGTATATAACCCCCACAAGCCACAATAGTAGCATTGTTTATTTAAATGAGTCGCCAATGATAGTAGATTCTTCTACAAAGTAACACATACCTCTTTGCACATACCTAGTACCTACCTACCATTGAATATTCATATTCAATTAGGGTTGCCAACCATTAATTTTTGAAATCCAGGACAGATCACTAAAGACCTGTAAGCAAAGAAGGACACAGAGGAACAAAAAAGGACACATAATCATATAATGTTTTATTAATATGAAACAAAATAAATTTAAAAAATATAACTGGCTAAAATAAAACATTTTAAAAACATTTAAAATAAACATTTAGAAACCAAAAAATTAAAACTTAATTGCAAAAAGCTTTTGACTGGCTTGATTCAGTTTTTTCTTCCTTTAGCCACTGAAATTCCGTTTCCCATTCCTTCCTGTACTTATTTTGCCGTTTTCTTTTTTTAGATGGCGCCGGTTCCGGTGCTGGTCTTTTGAACCTCTGGGTTTCCTCCTCCTCGCCCTCACTTGAATCAGTTGAGTCCATTTTATTTTTCTAAAATTCAATTGACTGTAAATTTAATTTTTGTGAATACAATAGAATTTAAATAAATACACAAGTAAATACTTACGATAAATTAAAACGAATAGATAATAATAATTACCTTCGTAAAACGCTAAGACTTTATGAACGATATAAATAGCAACAGTAGAACGACAGGTTTTAGATTTTTGTTTGGCGCTCAACCGCTCAACAACTCTCGTCGTCGCCGATACTGCACTCAGTGGCACTGCGAGTTGCGACTGTTTGAAGTAGTTCTGCTAGTAACTAGTATACACAATACGCAAATCGCAAATGCAGCGCGCAATTTTACAATCTTGCCGGATGTCATCAAAAATAATAAAAACATGTTTCACGCTATGTTGTTTGAGCAACAGGACAAATCTATTGAAATCGCGTGAAATCCAGGACGTCCTTCCTTATACAGGACGGTTGGCAACCCTATATTCAATGCTAGTACCTACCACATATTTTAGTATAGGTATTTAAATCTGTGCTAGTACATAGATACTATTTTTTTGTATACTTGGAAAATGTTCAAATCGTTGCATATCTCGCTCACATTTTTTTTACATTTTTCTCAATTCTTGTTTATAGATTTTTTCGCAGAACTTGTTAATTGTTTTTATTTTTTAATTGATGATTTTTTGGTATTGGCCACTATAATATTGATCTTGAGTGCAAAACTTCACATTCATACACTAAATGTTTCGAATTTTCGATTTTACTTTCACAATCACAATTCCAGAGTCCTGAAACAGTGATTCGGTCTATCAATCCTTTTGTGCAAATGTCAATCGTTAATGGTTGCGCATCCATAAGGTGCAAATTAATAACTAATTTTTGGTTAAATAGAACATTCTGTATGTTTTTAGTTGTTTCAATGTCATTTGTGAAACCTATTCCCTTTTTGATTTTTTGTCAATGTTGCCATCTTATTAATTTTTTTCTTGACTTTTCTATCACTAAAATAATTTTTTCATCGGCATAAAAGCGATTGTCTTGGCATTGTTGTAGAAACTTTTATTAAAAATTACATTCCACAGCGTTGACCCTAGAACTGATACTTTCCGTATTTTCGTAGATAACTTTTTGTATTAATGTTTTGTACTGTAGTTGGAGACGGATGGAATAAGTATTTGGTTCAATCGAAGATGTACAGCCAATAATAAAAAGGTTTTGAATTCAAATGCAGCAGCATCGTCGACGAAAGGTTATGTTTAACATTTCAACGACGATGCTGTTGCATTTGAATTAAAAACCATTTTTATTGGCTGTGCATCTTCTTTTGAACCAAAAACTTTTTGTATTGTGAAAATATCCAATTATTATACTTACGCGAGTAAATTATCTTTAGTTTGTTTCGTATGAATGGATAAATATTTTTAACAATTTCGTCGTTTTGTTTTGGTCTAAAATTGTATTGTGCTCAAACTTTTGTATAGGTAATTTTCCTTTTTATTTTTGTTTTATTTCCAAAATGTGCTGTTATGAATTCAATTAAATTTCTTCATATAGCTTTTCTAACAGTATCTATATATTTATTTCTATTTTCTACAATATAATTTGATTTTAAATTTTTACTTTTTTCAATATTTTCCTTCAATTTTCTAATATCTTTTCTTTTGTTATGTTATTTGCTTATTTTTCTTAGGTATAAGAATAGCCTCATTGGAAATGTCTTGAACATATAACTATTAAATTTCTAACTTTCTCATATCGGCTTGTAAGTGTTTGTGTAAAGGTTTTGACAGGGGTTTTGACTGTTGTGGAGCATGAAAATCCATAAAATAAATAAATAAATCTTTTAATAATTGTTTAAAGTTTAAAATATAACTTTGTGTTCGCTAATTCTTCGAATCATTTACTGTTAGCTTACTGTTTACTCATAACAGTTATATCAGTGTTTGTAAAACCTTTCATCAATTTCACTCTAGGGATTTCCCGATTCGCAATTGTTTGCCTCGTTTGTCAGTAGTTTTGCTATTTCAAACCGTTGATTTTGATTTTGAATCTCTAGCCAAAATTATTCTATTATTTTGCTGATGTATTAGGATTTTTTTAATTCATCCCATTTAATTTTATAATAGTAACCGTACATACGTGTGAGTAGTACAAAATTGTTCGGATTTTATAATTTCTATTTCTTTATTTACAATAATAACTGTTGCCATTTTTGATCCTCCTGTGATAATTTTCGAGGAATTCAGAAAGCTAACCATTATAGGTTATACGGTTCCATTATTATTATTCATTCCTATTATATTTTTTATTCTTTTGTACTATAATTTTGTATTTGTTACAACGTATTTACGACATGCGCATTAAATAGCACTCGATCATGTATACAACCAACAAAACATATTAACGACAAATGGTCAAGTAACAAAACATATATTTCGATTTCTTGGAGTTTTTTGATAAATACATAACAACACTTAATCTATAATAGTAGGTAGCTAATTTTTTCAGAGTCATTGTAAAATTTACATTTGCGCAATGCCACATTTGATGATAAAGAAAACCATTTCACATGAATTTTTAATATTTTTATTATCCTCGAGCTGATTATAGCAATCTTCAGCAATTTGTCTTGTAAATCCTCTAACTTCCTGTCCAATTTTGTCCACATTTATTTGCCTTGAGGTAGAGTTGTAATACCCCAAATGAGACCAAATACATGCGGAAAAACACTTAAACTGGTGAGTTTCGGGGAACAGCATAGTGAATAATGCATCGTAGAGTATCTGTCGCTCCAACCCACTTGAATTTAAACATTCATCCCTAAAAGGCGCTATCGTATTTTCCCACGATTTTATATACTCAAATTCCAAACTGAATTGCTAAAATAATCATTTTCTTATAATTACACGAGTAAAAGTTACTGATACCCTGATACTTACAAATGCAGTGCAAATGTAAAACAACGCGAACGCTACGATTAAAGACTTCATTGTAATGAAAATCAACGAACACAAACAAATTTGTTGTTGGCAAACCACTTATATGTGTAAGCATTCGTCTTATCTGAATACCTACTCGAATAATTATCGTTGTCAATATCATTTGTGGTGGAACAAATGCAGCCACCGTATACAGGATGGTGCATTTAACACGAGTCTCTTTCATAATTAGAGAACCGGTTGTGGTATCGAGTCCAGGCAATAGAGAACATATCAGGACTTTGGCTTGCAAAATTAATGGTATAGTTCTGGAAATAGGCTTACTTAATTAAGAACACATCGACATATTTTAAAAATATGGACTTTGAAAAAATAAGAGAGATTCAGCCTACATTTCCTTACAACTGCCATAATATCGTCCTGTACTGGGAGGGGGGGAGGGCATTCCATTCCCCCAAACCCCCCGGTGATGTGTTCAGTCTGAAAGCGTTCAGCCCTCAAAACCTCTTCCAAAAAAATTTTTGACAGGTGGGGAAATGCACTACGCACACTCCACATGGAGGCCTGGAGTAGTGTAGGACTCTACCTGGGCATACCCACTAAAACCCCACCTGAGGCTTCGGCTTCTAATGCCATTTGCCGACCTATTTCCTGCTTATAGCAGCTAAGATATCACAGTTTTAAGATGCATACCTACTAGTTACATATATGTCACAGATTTTCAGTTCAAACGTACAGTCATAGATAAGGGACATATTATAAACATTTTATCACAGTTTACTTATCACATTTATGGTGCTTAGAAATCGCAGTACTTCTGAGCATTTATTTACAGTGCTAAAATTCTCTTCCCATATATCACTTATTTGATAAAGGTTACGCGCATCTTGGTATTCTGGACAAACACAAACTATATGCTCCGGTGTTAGGTTTACCTCACACCTTACGCAATGAGGACGACCTTCACCAGCTAACAAAAAACCATGTGTCAATGCAGTATGGCCAATCCGGAGTCTATATAGTTTTATCAAAGCGGAACGATTTGTAGTAACAAAAAACAGTGGCCCTAGGCCGTGCTTGACCCTCTTCAAGAATGCTTCAGATGCTCTCCACTGGTTACTCCAACGCTCATTTATTTGAGCTTTCACCAGCCTGCCTCGAACTATTTTAGACAAATCTGCAAAATTTGCTTCATGGAGTTCTAAGTGTCTCAGTTCTTTCTCCTATCGTTCTACATCTATTTAGACGAGCATTTGTGATCTCATCTGTAAGCAAGTGATGGTTCGGGTGACTATTATCTAGATTCTAGAAACACTTTAAGATAATAGTTTACCAGAATCTGCCTTCGTCGAAGAGTTACAGGAAGAATGTTTGCTTCCACGTGAAGTGAGGCGACAGGAGTTGTTGGATATGCTCCAAGAGAATACCTTATTGCAAGATTCTGGATTTTATCTAGTGCTCCTAATAATGTGTTTTTTTCTAATATTAAATAATAGGTAGGATACTGATGCGTTTTTAATTGAGAAAGTTATCTATTATTCAATTTGTTTTCATTATTCAACTGTTAATGTCAGCCAATCGTATTCCGAGTTTGTCATTACTCTTCAGGTCACATTGTAGGGTTGCCTTGGAAACATGTGTGTAGCAAAAATCAAGATCTCGGATCGCGATAAATCCAGTTGTCAAACATTAATGTCAATCAAACAAATTACGAGAAATCAGTTTTGTGAAAATTACGTGAAAATGGGCAGTGACGACGATATAATTCTAACTTCTCCGTATTTTACGTACATTGCTGATTTTGTCAATTGTTTGATGACATAATAAAACCATTATGCATAATGTTATTATTACTGTAATTATTGAATACAAGTAGAAAAAGTATAGTATTTAACTCGTAAGAAAGGCATTATTCACTCAGATAAATTACGCCACTCGTCTTCGACTCGTGGCGCAAATCTTATCTTCGTGAATAATTGCCAACTTTCTCACTCGTTGAATAATATACTATTACCGCATGTGAGGTAGGCGATTGAATCAATGCTGTATATATGTTAAGTAGAGTCTTAGCATGCGCACCCCATTTATTATGAGCTAAACTCTGATTATGTTCAGCAACCTCCTACTTGTAGTAACAATGTTTTGCAGGTGTCTAGACCATCTTAATTCACGGTCAAATGTTAACCCCAGGAACTTGACCTCCTGGGGTACACTTATAATTTGATCATTCATAAACAGGACTGGGTCGTAGTGAGGTTTACGAAGTCGGCAGAAGTGAGTGGCCTTTAGTCTTCTCTTCCGACAGTACAAATCCGATAGCGCTTGCATTTTCCCATATTTTATTTATTGCCATTTTTTGTATGCGTTTTGGTTCACAAAGTTCAGTCCTTAAGACTCTTTCAAAAATGATGGTCCAAGCGGTAACGGTACCACACATTTTGGTAAAAAATATACTGGGGGGGGGGGGGCCATTCTCCCAGACTCCCCCCCGGTGATGCGTTCTGCTTCAAAATGTTCTGTTCTTAAGTTGCTATAAATATGACACGACACAGGGTACTGGGTAGAATTGGGTTTTCCACGTTTTTTCAAAAACCTTGAAAATGAACTCCAAGCACATTAAAAAAATGATTGGTACTCATTTTTTTGTCAAGAGAAATCGTTGTGATTAGCAAACACGATTTTAAAATGAACGGCGTTTGAAAAGTTTCGAATGACCGCCACATTGCAGTGACGTCACTACGCGCGTTGGCGCTCAGCCGTAGCATTGCTTACAATCGATTCAGAGAAAGAAAACGTCGTTTTGACGGAAAAAAGCGTCGAATAATTATTGCATTTGTGCCTGGGTGTGATAGCAGAAGTCATCGCGAACCTAATAAATTGTATATAAACGTCCCAACAGGAAATATACGAAAAAAGTTCGACGTGATACCGCAAGTTTGACATCCCATTTGTATTGTTGTGAAGACGATTCTAATTAATTAAAGTACATAATGTCGATTTACTTTCAGTCAGTTATCGACGAAAATCCATCGATATATAATATTGTAATTGTAATTCAGAATATGATTTACTTCGAACTCTGTTCTTGGCATATCTGTGCCCTTACAGTGCACACATTTTTCTCTATTTTCACTTCCACATATCCAACACCCTAATTTTCTCGTTGAAATCCGTAAGGTGGATACTTTATTAGGTACCTACACTATACCTTGCACTATACACACAAAACTTGATGTTATACTTCCTATGAACCATAACAGATTTGCTTCTGGGCTTTGACTCCACTCAAACGAGTGGCATGGAAAAACTCACTTTTCGAGAAAAAGGCGGCGACCATTAACACTTCAACCTTTGGCAGACTATCTAACTGCCCCTTTACGAACCAGTCAGAACTCAGTTTATGGCAGATTGCCATAATAAGTCGAATCGAACTCCTATCAGTGTCATGCACTAATATAACTCCCGATCGGCAACCCGCGTAGTGACGTAAGCGACGCTCGGCCAATATCGGCATGTCGTCGGTTGCATGACAAAATTTGAAAGTTTTACGATATTATATGTTGTTTATTGACATGCTGCAATTAGGAAAAAAAGTTTTGTATATGAGATGTTTAATTACAGGTTATAAACTTTACAGTAAGACACAAAAAAGTTACAATATTTTTTTTCAGGAAGGCCCTATTCTCGACTAACCTGATTGTTGTAACAGGGGAAGAGATGGGCCAAGAAATTGAAAATCAACGGATTCATCGTCACGCAAAGCATAAAACCAACCTATGTCCAGAACTACCATGAATTTTGCATCCTAAAATTATATATTTCCTGGACTAATATGATTTGTATAGATGTTTATTAATAAAGTAGTTAAAATATTTCTATACATGATTTTTAGCTCGAGCTCGAGCTAGTGGCTGTAACTTTTCGTATTATGAACCGATTTCCCCCAAAATTTTTATGGGTCGGTGTAACTCATAAATAAATATCTCGGTCCAGTTTGTGAATCAGCCAATTCCAACACTTTTCGCATTATGAAGCGACTTCTACCAAATTTTATGGGTTAGTGTCACTCATAAATATGACGGTCAAATTCGTGAATTTCAAACAAAATGGCGGCCACTTCTATATGTTAAATGACTTCAATTTTCCTTTTTGTAGCGAGGGTGGGAGGGAGAGGTTAGTAAGGGCAGTTTCTATCGAAGGACATACAGTGCGCACTTCTAGGATGCGCGGGAGTTTACTTGGAGTACCGGTAAGCCGAGACATGCGCACCGTGTGTCCTTCGATTCATCTCGTACAGGTCTATCGGAAGACATGCAGTGCGCACGTCTAGGATGCGGGGCAGTCTATTTGGAGTTCGAAAAAGCCGAAACATGAGTACAAGATCTTATTCGATGCGTTTCGTGTGAGTGACATGCAGTGCACACGCCTAGGATGCTCACAGAGTGATTTTTTAAAACTTTGAAGTAACACTTTCTTGACTATAAGAAGAATTATTAGTTCGAAAAACATAAATTTTAGTTAAAAACTTTCTAATAAACCGCGTTTTTCTAGCTATTCCTAGTAAGTCCTAGTAAGATATTCCAAATTTATGTTCTGTTTAAGTAATTCTTTGATTTATACTTTCGTTTAAATTCTTACGCCATCTAGCTACTTCCTCTATAAACCCATTTAGTTAAGATGTAACTTAGTTCCCTAGTAGATTTATTATCACCTTAGTTCTTTAGTTTGCCGCTAGAAGCCATCGGTGATTTTATCTTATTTTCTGCACACGCATTTCTTGTACAAGAACACCTTTGATTATTACTTGTAAGAACGTACACGTCGCCATTAGATTTTGACAAATTTCGTCATTACCTGAAAAAGTCTTTCGCTAGTGGGCGGTGGGAGGTTTCTTTCTTGAATACTTACTTCGCTTCATAGTATACGCGTTTTTGCGGATATATTTGACAACTTCTAAGGTCGTTTATGGTATGTATCTACAACTGCGCATTACCCTTGACTTCTGGCTTACTCCGTTCTTCATTACTCTGTACTTGATTATTGCGTCCGACATCCTTTGTGGA